AAAAAAAAAAAAAAAAACACGAGCGATTGAAAAATCTTCGAAATTCGACTGGTTGTTTGCGCGACTTATAATACCACCACGAACGAATACAATACCATTACGAAATAAGTGGCGAATTAAACTGGCGAAAATTATTATTATATATATATTGTTGTACGTTCTCACGCGCAACAATGACAGAGGGAGGACGTTATTATCTTCTCGCCTCATCTCATCTCCAGCTGGTGGTGGCATTAAGTAATTCATTAATTAACTCGTCTTGCGCGAACATGCTTTCTCGCGTGCATTCCGCGCTTCCTCGGACAAAATCGTCCGACTCGGTTTAAAATTTCCGTTGCGCAATATTTTCAGCACTTGAGTCTTCGAGAATTGTGCGATTCCAGAATTACGAAACCTTCGTGATAGCTTGTATATAAGATACGATATTTTATTTATTTATTTATTCTCTTTCTCTTTTTTTACTCGAACTCTTCCATCGTGGATGGACGAGACGTTCGCGAGTACGTTCATTTTCACCGGAAACGATGGCCGTGAACGCCATCGCGGGGGAGGGGGGATCCAAATTTTCAATGCCGCACGCCGAGGCAGTGGCCAGAAAACTGAAAATCATTAATTAATCCGTCGATCGTATCGCGTTAACATTCACGGTACACGCTTCCACTGATAAATTTCTTAATCCTTCGAAGAATCCATCTCCATAGCCATTTCCTGGCATTTTCTTCGAACATCCATCTCTCCTCGCGGAGAGGAGAGGATTAATCTTTCGACGAATCCTATCTTTTTTTCGAATTTTTTGTAGGTTCTTACGCAAGTTTCATTCTTAACAAAACGGTTAAGAAAAAGTTTCGATAATCTTGCGAGCGAAATCCTGACCCACCCTAATTTCCAGCGCGGCGACTGCACAAGTGGATCGTTGCCGTACCCTCTTGCCAGGCGTCGAAATCACCCGTCACGTCGAGAGGGGTGGAGGCAATGTCTTGCGGTTGCGCGCGTGGTAGTGGACAGGAGATCGAATACAAAGGCACGGAGATGCGCATCCGCTTGCGGGGAACAATGTAACCCGACTTCCGGTCAGACGTAGGCACGTACACGCACTGGACTGGCTCGATCCGCCGTGCCGTTTCGTATGTCGCAACAGCCTCTTTTTTTCTCTCTCTTTCTCTCCTCTCATTTCGACCAATAGCCGATTATTGCGAAAAAGATCGCACACCGAGATCTCCTTTCAATTCCGATTGCGATTTAAACGTTCTTTTAAAAGCTGCTCCGATCGTTTACCTCCGATCGTTCCCGTATACTTTCGTGTTTTATCTACGCCGGATGAAACGAACGTTAAAATTCTCGACGATAGAGAAGATGCGTTTAATAATTGATAATTGCGGTTGGAAAGGAAGTGCGACTTATAGCGTGCATCCTTCCTCGGTCCACATTCCATTGTGATAGATGACGAAAGTTGATGATTTCGACAGAATCCCAAGGGAATTGCAATGTAAATAATACTTTCCAGTAGTTGCGCCTCTCAGATAATTTGTCTTTGTTCTAAGAGAAATCAACGGGTAATTTACACACAATTTTTTCGAATCGAAATGAGCGAATAACTCGATTGTTCTATATACGTTACAAATTGCACGTTTTCACCGAAAAATTATCACCGTGTATTCGTATAATAAACTCTAATTAAAGTGCATTTATTTTTACCGACGTTTCAGCAAGTAGACGGTTACACGCCTGGTGTGGACTATCCGATCTACGACTCGGTGCCTTTCGGTCTCACGTTTACCTGCGGAGGCAAGTTACCTGGTTATTACGCCGATCCCGAAGCTAGATGTCAGGTAAGTTTGCCCTACTAACTCTTACGCCGCCATTACACGACCACGATTATTTCGAATATTTTCGCCAGGTCTGGCATTGGTGCTTGCCAAATGGGCGCATGTTTAGCTTCCTTTGTCCAAACGGTACCGTTTTCAGCCAGTCAGCTCGCGTCTGTGATTGGTGGTTCAAGGTATTCATTTTTTTAACGTATATTTTAATCATTTTGATTCAGGAATTAAAAATCTTGCGTTTGTCGTAGGTTGATTGCAACGATTCGCCAAGATTGTACGGTATCAACGATGACCTGTACAGAGACGTGAACGGGAACAAGATCTAATAACTGTTATCTGTGAATATTTAAACGCGTGTCGACGAAAAGTATTTCCGTCTCTTCGACGAGACAGTATTTCAACGGAAGCAAGATACGTGCAACGAGTTGCGAGTTTCTAGCTTGCCGACGGAGAAAAGCAGAGCGCTGTAATATTGTCAGACGTTAAATTACACGACGACGATCGAACGTTACAAAATGTTCGAACTTGTAGCTATATATTTTCGAATAGAATCAGTTAAAATTTTTCCGAGAAATTAATCCAAATTGCTCTTAATCTCTTTATAACAAATTTGATTCCTCAATAAAGAACAACAGATGCATTAACCTTTTCTCTGCATTAAATACGATCGTGCTGATTGGTCGTTCGATTCAATTGTAACCAACGGTTTTTACCATAGAGGTGTGTAAGAGAAAAAGAGAAGAAAAATCAACGATCGCGCAAAAATCGAAATCTCATCGAACTATTTCTTGGCATGATTGAACAATAGAAAGTGAATGGTCGTCACAAACGACCGGTTCGTTGTCTACGTATTTTCCTGTCAAACGTTGTCTTCCTTCGCTACACTTTTCCATCCATACGTTTTGCATGCACGTCTCGTTCACGAATATTTCTTTTTTTCCTGCGTAAACGGCCAAAATGAAAATGATCGCGATTCCAATTTCGTTCAAAATTCTAAACTCTTCTTTTCTTTCTTCACCCGGTGAAATTAAAATAATTACGTTCGATTCTATTCGAAAGAATTTCAATCGATATCTAAATGAGTTGCGTAAACGAATAGAAATTTGTCCACTTACGAAACTCTTCCGTTCGTCGAACATACGTCAAGGCCAAAGTCATCGCCACGACACGAATCAACGATCAGAGAACACACAGCATCGTCGCTCCTTCGTTTCGTGTAACGTAAACAAGATCACGAAACTGTCCAACGTTCGGACGAACGCGTGCAGCGTCCAGCATCGAAACGATGGCACGGAATTACGAAAAATATTCGTTCAACTTTTCCAAGCGGCGAACCCGCAGCGCGTTAATATTCCTGATGCGTAAAAAGCACGCATCGAGACGTTCCTCTTTGAGCGAATCGCGAACGTAAATGCCACGGGCGTACGACTTGTCCTGAAATTCTTGACAATCCCCTTTCAAAGATCAACAGGCGTGTCACGCTGTGCGCAAATCTTCGCAACAGCGGGAATAAAGTGTGATCAGGATTTATCGTAGATTGTGCGGCTCGTTACTCTACGTTCGACGAGTGATTCGAACACGGGGGGAATGGGAGCAACCCTAATCTTGTTTCCAGGAAGAGAAGGCGAGGATATCGGGATCCTTGGAATCTCGAAAAAGAAAGAACTCGTTGTCCTTAGAGGAAACGGCAAACTTTTGAAGAAACGATCGATCTCACGCGACGAGATATGAATAGAACTCGGCGTATATTAAGTAAGAGATAAATCTCAACAAGAGATGATTACTTTTCGAGCGACGAAAGAGAGAGGATTTTTTCGAATAAATTTTAAAAAATGGCATGCACGTACGCGACTCGATTTCATTCAAAGTTAGAAGGGAATTGTTCGAAGAACGTGGAAGCAGGTTAGAATATACTTTCTTCGGATCGCTCTATTATTCGCTCGGCGACCCTGAACGTAATTTATTGAAAAAGCTAGAAGAGTCGATCGCTCTTTCGCGTTTGACAGTCGTTCGAAAGAATCGAAGTAGCGCAAACGTCGAACGGGAAATCGAACTTCCTATTTCCAAACAATGCTGCGCGCGATCTTTGTCGATCGATCGATCGATCAATCGATATCCTCGAGGATGCGACGATTTTATCCTACTCCCGAGGACGTTACACTTTCACTCGATTTCTTCCCTCGATCTTTCGAAAAATCGAGATAATTCGCTGGATAGGCTCGGTTATTCGGAGGTGGAAAAAAATAAGGATAAGAATGCACGTGTCAGAATCTCCTGAAGGCGACTCGAGACCTTTCGGCTCGACCTACGTCCACCTACGTTTGTTCGGATTGGATCTCGAAACGAGGATTGGATCGAGGATGAAAAATACGGACGGTGGTAAAAGTGAGGCTGACGATAAGACAGAAAAATCTCGTAGAAATGGATGGCCTTCTAACGCGACGTTTAAGAGTCAAGTTTGAAAGGTTGGAGAACGTTGGAGTTGCATTGGCTGTCAGGTGGCGACGCAGGTGCTCCTCGGCAACCTTTCGCTCTTTCGGTGGGGAACCTTTTTTCGACGGGAGTTACGCCAATGCGAGAGCAGGGAAGGCGCCTATGTCCGTCCAAGCCCCCCCACCTCGGCATTATCCTCCTGGTCGTAGAAAGCTCGACCAGACGACGCTGGCCGGAGCACAACGCTCCTGCCGCTGGCTTTTCCACTTCCATCGCGCAGTCTTCTGGCCGGACCGGACGCGGTCTTGCCCTCAACCTCAACGAAACCGAAAACGCGCTCTTTCCCCACCGAATTTTCTTCTCGATTTACGAAAATTCGTCAATCCATCCATCGATCCATCCCTCGCTCGTCGCCTCGTGCTTTCTCAAGATCGTTCGCTGGCAGAGAAGTAGAGCCGCGCGGTGTATAAGGTGTGACAAGTATATACAGTTGGAGTGCGCCTCGATGTGAAGACCGTGCTTTCATGAGGGATTAACGAAAAACTATCAACGGAGCCGAGAGACAGGTATTTGTGTATTTTCTTTTCTTTTCTTTTCTTTTTCTCGAAACGGGCGAATATAATTCTTGAACCGTGGAATGAAAAAATCCGCGAAAGTTTCGAGAGATTGTTCATCGTCGAAGATGATTTGAAAAAAAAAGGGGGGAAACAAAAAAGAAGAAGTGGAAACGAGGTTAAACGAAGATTCAAGCTTCGATTATCCTCCTTCGTTGTTACGATACGAGAGTTTACGAGATTGAACGTGGCGAAAGTAGTGGCAAATTTCCTTCGCTATTTATATACCCGCGAACGTTGCCTCCTTTTCCTGCCATCGAATCCAGACGAGACGAGACGAGACAAATGAAATTTGAAATTACTTAAGCGGCGATAATCACAGTGTTTTATTCAAGCGACAGAGGTGGTCGACTTCTGCCCGCGGCCAGAATGTCAGCATTTTCTTGCGACAATCCCTCCACGTGAG